AAAACGTTATATTTCGTTAGTTTATCTATATTCACACTTTTATGAATATAATTTTACAAAAATTATGATTCGTAGTTTCGTTCGATGTGATAGTTTATAAAACATTGACCAAAATGCATTCTTGGTTTATCTGGACATGTATCACAGAAATAGGTCGTCTCATGTCTTCCCTTTGGTTTGTTTCGACTGGAACAAACTTTGCAATATTTCTTTGTGCCAATAACAATTACATGCAGTTTCCCGTTTTGACGAATTTCGTCAGAGTTGGACGTCGAACTTGAAGATCTATCTCGTGGTTGACGAAAATCTCCTCTCAATCTGTTGATCAAAATTTTGCGAAAGTTCAAATGTGTAACTGGCTGTTAGTTTCTCTGCCTTTTTACATGTTTGTAGAAAATATACGAATTGATTAAACAAATTTCCAGTCCCCGGAAAAATAATTTGCGCCACCACTTCAGGGATTTTCTCATAAAACAGTACGTTGAACAATGTTGGAGATAACGAAATCTAACATAAACACTGACTGTCGCCTTTCACTCGCCGATCGTCCTGTCGCGCGAAACGCCGTGGCGACCGAGAGTCGTCTCTCGTCCGTTAAGGGTTAATTTGAAAACGCAAGATTTGAAAAAAGGAAAACATTCTGGTGGGTAGTCAGAACAGAATTATTTGAGATTAAAGGATTCCATTATGGATTCGGTTTTAAAATACAATCCCTGGCAAAAAGTATTCGATCACCTTTTAAAACGCAATCACTTTTTACAAGTTGGTCCAAGTGACTTGAATCTTTTTTTAAGTGTTGAAGGGACTAATTTACCGTGCAATGACTAGCATACAGTGTTTTTTTTTTAATTTTGCTATTACAAAAAATGTCAACAAAAGATAAAAAGCACTCGTTTGTCACTTTTTTATCTGAACCTGGAACGAAAATTTAAAAAATGTGTTTTGTACATCTCGATTGTACATTGGGAATATCATGAGCCAATAAAATAAAATAAAAAAACAGAAAAATAGTGTAATTACACGTAGTGACAAAACGCTCAAACTGGTAGCTAAAATTACTGACAAGAGATAAGTTTGGGTTTTTTGTAAATCCCCGGCAGATGTCGCCACTATGTTAAATCTGTGGGAGTTCATATAAATAAACTAACTAAATCTAAAATTTAAACTCACAATTTATATTAATACTATATAATAATACATTAAACTCACGATTATAATTCAACTTAATATTTAATACTTTTAATTTAATTTCAATTAAATTAAAAAATAAATTATTCCTGTTTTGGACGCTCTTTAAAGGTTTATTATAACATTCATTGGTAAGTAACACTAAAAAGTTGTATTAATATTTACAAGATAGCAAAAAATTCATTAATAACATAATTTAGTAACATGGTATATACCAAATCTTAAAATCCATATATTGAACAATGTTATTGCTATTATATCTGCAGTAATGTGTTTAATTGGTATTGCTTCGGGCCAACGAGAAAAACGATCAATCAATGTAAAATAATAACGATATCCGTTAATATTAGGAAGTGGGCCAATGGGATCTACATATATGTGTATGATTAAATCTTTCTTTAGGTATTGGAATATACATGATCTGGTATATTTTTATGATGGCGATGAACTTTGCTCTTTCGGCAAGATAAACAAGTCCTCATCCATTCTGCCACATCTTTTGCTATATTTGGCCAAACAAATCTTTGTGATAATATGTCTTTCTTATAGACTCTCACTTCCGGGACGTGATAAACTACATATACTATTTAAAATTTTGTTCCTTAAAATCTTCTGGAACAAGAGACGAATTATTGTCTTCTATAATATAACATTACAACACACTGAGTTCGAATTACCTGTAATCACAGTACCAAATTTCAATTCTGTACAAAATTTCATTATTTATATTTGCCACAAATCTAATTTTTTTTTTGCACTTACTCCGCGATTGTGACATTAATTTGGACCCTAAGTTTGTGATCGTGGTGCTATTTCTGTCAGAAATTGTTGTAGGTAATTTTGACGAACAGTTCGAGCGTTTTGTCACTTGGCGCTATTTTTCTATTTTATACAGTGGATCATTCGTGCCAGAATTTATATTTTATCTATATTTATAGGGATAGAGGTAAGTACCACATGTTCTCCATATGTGTAGCAACAAATAAACTTTTCCTCGATGTTACAAATGCAACAGATTCTTCTGAATATTTCCATACTCTCAATTTATTTATTTCACGCCCAATGTGGTAAATTTTGGGCCATTTTACATTCTTACTAGGCGTACAATTCTCCTCATTGCGAAGTTAGCAAGAATCAATTGTAGCTTTAAGAAATATTCAATGCTTACTATATTTGCAACAATAAGGAGACGTTGTTGGCATGAAATGGATGCAGAAAATTCCACTGAACATTTCTGTACCCTCAGAATATTCCTTTAGTCATACAATCGCCATATTTCATCCCATTTTATAAATTCTTTCCAGAGGATTGATTTAGTTCGGACATTTTGCCGCTATGTGGTTATAGTGTGTCAATGCAGTGGACCCATGAAAAGCCTGTTTTTATGATCATCGAAATCACACACACACAGGCAGAATTATAGAATAATGAGATATAAATTTAGCGAGCTCCATCATTACGAATATTCTAAGTTTCAAGATATTGATAATTTTATATTGCATTTCTATCGAATATTTGACATATTTCCCTATATGCTAGTTTCACGATGCTAGTTAGAAATTTGTGTAGGTGTGACCCCTTACAACGCTAAACATGATTGGCCAGAATTGTATGCACTGTACACAGTTCTAAATGTGAATTTTCACTATATGATCGTTAATTAAACATTGCAAACAATATTCACCCCTCATACGATGTTGATAATTATGTAATCACTATTTTTAATCATTTTGGATAGATAATGCTGAATATTTATCGAAGCATCGATAGTAACTCAACAAAATTAATGATTAATCCTATGACACTATAACCCGTTACTGCTAACATCCACCAATGTTATTCCATTGATCGCTAATGTCACTTATAGATACATTGCAGTATCGGAGCATACGTGTTGGTACGTGTACCGTTGTCGTTATTTGTTAAATAAATTGTAAAAGAGATTAACGATAATAAAATGAGACCAGCCTGATTCTACTCTCACCTTTTGCAGAGTGTAAAATTGTAAAAATGTATTTAGTCTATCTTCTCATTAATTTATTAGTCAGCGCTTCGTTGTTTGTTCATGGGGTTAGTAAAACTTCAAATACGTATACATATTTGATACACGTATTGTTATACGAATCGTTTAAATTAATTGATTGTATTTTAACGAGAGGAAACGTTCAATTTTAGAGCGAATTAGATTACGACGCATGGATACAATTAAGACTGTGGCACGCGTTTAACGATGGTCCGGAGCCGATTTTTCAAGAAAGAGGAAACATTACAGTGCCCAGTGTGCGCAGCGGTGTTTCCGTTGTTGGGCAAAATGGTCTGTTGACAGCCCATACGCATGAACTAGTAGAACTTGCCAAACACGATGGCAAGTACAGACTCAAAGCTGTGGCTCGAACCCCTTTGGGAAGCGAGATGACATTCCTAACGTCTGTACCTGCGGTAAGTTTCTTCCTATATCTCATTGCCCCAATTCTATTGCTGCCCTAATTATACTCTCCTTCCCGCATTTAGTGTTACCTTATTGGCTCGGACCTCGAAGACATTATAACAATTTGGCTGGATAGCATGGGCGAACCAATCGCCGTCACCCAAACATCTCCAGGTCCTTGTAGCACCGAAGCTTCGCTTGTAACCAGTATGTGGACTACAGATGTACTTGTTAAATACCCTGATGGCGGGCCAGTCCCGGACACTGCCACATATATACTAAAAGTAGAAAGAGAAAGGGAAGCGAGGGAAAGAGGAGAAGCCAAAGATAATAGACCCTACCTTTCAAGATACGTAAGTCCCTTCGATTAAATACATTTTATAATGCTATCGTCATTTATCTTATGCACCTTTATTTCTGTTTCAGTGGATGTATATTTTCCTCATATTTATTTTTGTTGTTCTATCTGCCGCAACAAATCCAGAGGCAGCAGGAGGATCAGGTGGCAGTGCCCAGAGGCAGTGATGTAAAAACTGTATTATTGCATTCGCGTGTGCATTGTGTTTCTAAGTATGCTCGTGTGGGAGATGTTTATTTATAAAATTTACAATGTACTTTCCTAAATGCAGTTGCAGTAATCATGACTGTATGCTCCTCTAAATAAATTCTTTAATTTAATTCAGTTTGCTTTTACTTTTCTCGTGTACTACCTATATATCACACTATCGGTACTTGTATCGATTATCAAAAATCAATTTTCACTTTACTTCATTTCTTTACATATAGAAGAACGACTCAGAAATTTGACAAAGGCATCTAATTTTTTGTTAAACGAAAACCGTCGTGACTATACTTGAATATACATATGTGTATAGATAGTTCAATACATCAGGTGAGGTTCACACAGGTGTACCAGGGAAGGATCAATAATCCACCTCCATTGATTGAGCCACAGGGCTTGCCACTCTGCATCAGACTGTCTACCAGGCTGATTCAGAATGGCAGCGTTCTCTTTGAACATTCAAAAACACGTGGAGCCAGGACTAGTCACTTGTGGCAAATTCGATGGTTCCCACGCTTGTTTGGCAGCGGCGACGTTCGGTGGCAACATTTTGATTCACAGTCCTCATAGGCAGCCCCAGATAAAGAGCCACGATCATGAACAATTGGACAGAAAGCTGTCTTGGAGCGGAGAATTGGCGGAACTCCAGATAGGAACCGAGGTACAATAAATTTTTGCAAAATTTCTCACAAGTCTTATTCTTTATCAAATGTTAATCAATGCGTGCATTAGATCACGGCGATGAGCATCGGCCGTCTCACAAACGATGATAAAGATGTCCTCTTGGTTGGAACACCAAGCCACGTCCTTGCCTTCCATGTCGAGGACAATTCCGACATTTTCTATAAGGAGGTACAAGAACACAAGATCATTTAATCAGAACGTAGACTGATCATTTATTTCGTGTAGATGTCCGATGGCGTCAAATGCATTGCCATCGGTAAATTGGGATGGCTCCCCAATCAGGTTGCAATCGTTGGTGGTAACTGTTCAGTGACGATTTTGGACTCACAAGGCACAGAAATATTTTGGACGGTGGTCGAGGGCATCGTCAGCTCCTTGGCTGTCTTTGACTTTGATGGCGACAACGAAAACGAGGTAACTTTCATCGATCATCCCTTACTGCGACTTGATGTTATTTCGTCTCTTCAATTTCTTTTCTATTTCAGCTGGTCACTGGTACACAAGACTTTGAAATCAAGGTGTACAAAGAGGAGAATGTGCTCTGGGAAGCCAAGGAGACTGCTCCAATTACTACACTAACAGGCCTTCCCAATAGAAGGTTCGTTTATTCAGTTGGGAACGGGACTCTGGGTGTCTATGAAATGGCGCAAAGATTATGGCGCGTTAAGGTGAGTTCAGTAAACACACTATCCTCGATATTTGAATAATAAAGTACGAATTGTTCAGTCAAAGCATCGAGTGGTGGTCACGAGAAGCTTCGACGTGAACGGGGACGGTGCACCGGAAGTTATCACAGGCTGGAACAATGGAAAGGTCGATGCGAGATCATCGAATAGTGGAGAGGTGATCTTTAAAATTCAATTATCCAACGGGATAGCTGGGATCGTGGAAGCCGATTACAGAAGAATCGGCAAGCCTGATCTAGTTGTAGTGTCCACCAGCGGCGAAGGTACTATTTGAAGAAATGAGCACGAGCAAAGTGCTGATAGATTTCAAAATGCAAGAAACTAAACATCAATCGCTTCTAGTTCGTGGCTATGGTTCTGGTTCCACAATGGACACTCCGGAACCAGGAGAAGCCATGCGTGAATTGCTGGCGAAGAAACAAGTTCTACAGATGGAACTTAGGCAGAGGACTGCGTCTGTTCCGGCTATGTACCACAGGACTAAACTGGCGGTCACCTTGATGACTATTAATGGTGCTGCAAGGGTCGCTCTAGCATCAGGGCCTGGACTGTTGGTAGGTATTATGGGAGCTTCAATGGTTCAACGTCAACAACAGTGACATTTCAGATCCATTGCGCCATAGTGTTCACCGAGGGTGTGTTCGATGGTGAAACACTCGTTGTTCATCCCCCGAGGCCGAAAGGGGAACTGGAAATCGAGCTTCGTCCTTCAAAAAACACTCCGGTTGACATTCATGTCAAGGTGTGCGTCGGGCCTGCAGGCGCAGATCTGATGCAGGTAGAAAACTGGTCGAAGCAGAATTGAAATGACTGATCATCGTTTCAATTGTATTTTCTTCTAGGTGTTCGAAATGACCCGACAACTGCCCAGGTTTTGCATGTACGAAATGATCATGAAGCCGGGGCGCACTGAAGATAACATTCTGAACAACTTCGTCGTCGCCGAGGTACATAGCATAATCTAACATTTTACCTACCGACAAACAGCTAGCATTCTTAAACTATTTAAGTCGCTGATCAACAAAATTATCTGATAAGAAGAAGCTGTAAGGTTCTTACGGTGTCATTTTTCCAGTTTGCAGAGCGACCTCAAAGAATCGCGCTTTGGTTGAACCAGAGTCTGATCTTGCCAAAGGAGTTCGAGATCAGAGAAGACGGATCAAATGGCGGCGGGATTGAGATGTGGCTTCGCGGGATGAGGGACGGCAAGGTTCATTGCTTCAAAGCAGACTCAACCGGGAAAGTGACCATTCAAACTGAGGACTCCACGTTTGCAGGGGACATTATTCAATCTCTAGCTTTGTACTTGGGTCTGAGGGAGTTGTCCTCGGAGGTCACGTTTCCAGAAGAGGAGAAGAAGCTCTTGGACGCTTTAGAAAAAGTCAAAGGTAACATACACTCTACCTCATTGTTTTATTAGGTTGGTGCATATGAAATGTCGGATTTTCTTTACGTGTGAACGTTTCTCTCCCTGTTTTCGTTATGCTTTTGTTTTTGGCGTAATCTCGTTTATAGTCGTACTGTCCATTGCCAGAATCACATTTCAACAAAGGAGATTTTCTCAAAAGTGTTCCATTTTGTTATTTGTTTTGAATTTCGTAAGGATATGAATTCAACCGATATTGGGGGGTAATTTTTTTATATGGGTATAAACTTGGTAATAATGTTGCAAAAACTGCACGCAATATAAATCAGGCATTTGGGGAGAATACTGTTAACGATCGAAAAATGCAGCGTTGGTTTGAATCAGCGGTCCGCTGATTTTTCCCTACAAAATGAACCGCGTGGAAGACCCAAAACGTCTGTGAGAAATGATGCTCTGAAAGCATTTGTGAAAACGAATCCAACTGTATCCACAAGGGAACTTGCTGGCAAGGTGGAAAAAATGGATAAGTAGGTACCGCTTGAACTAATCATCGCCATGGCTCAATACTTCTCCACAACAGTCCCCTGCTGTATACATCATACAAAACAATTGCAAAATTAAATGAATTAAAATATGAAATTTTGCAGCATCCAGCTTATTCGCCGGATCATTGGCCAACCGATCTTTATTCAAATGGAGACGGTCTGAAAAATTTCATATCAAAGTTTATTGATTCTAAAGATCAGAATTTCTTTAAGACAGGCATCTATGCATTAAAATCTCGTTGGGAAAAGAGTATTGAAACGAATGGAGCATATTTTGATTAAATAAACAGCTTTCGAAAAAAAATGCAGTTTTATATATTCACTTAAAAATCCGACATTTCACACGCACCAACTTAATACAACAATCTCAACGAATAAAAATACTTTCTTCTGTTGCAGATTTGAAAGAAATCGACATTAGGCTACAGGCAGAGGCAGCCAGCGATACAACTCTGTTGAAGAACATTATAATTCGTTTAGAGGATGCCAGGATCCTCGAGAACATCGACGAGATGCGGAAGAGGTTGGTGCAGCTGAAAAACGTCAACGTGGATCTGATCAAGGAACACGAGATCAGGATGAAGAGTTACCGGGAATTGGCGGCGAACTTGAAGGAGTTGAACCTTGGGGTGCAGAGAGCTGCTAGATTAAGGGGTAAGTGACCAATTCAGTTTTAGTGGCGCGTTGAAGGACCTTGATAACTTGATTTCAGTCGGCAAGAACGCATCGAACACGGTGGCACACTGTCGAACCGCTATCCAGGACAATAATCCGAAAGCACTTCTGTTGGCAATAAGACACGGATGAAGCTGTTTAACCATCATTGTTTTATTGTTGGACGATACAACCGTTAAAATACTCCATAAAATAAGTACTGTCGTGTACCGCTAAATCTTCTCGGGACCAGATGTTATACAATATATATAGTTTTAACAAATTATATCACAGGGTGTAAGTCTTTCCTATAACACTCGACCTTCAAACGATCGAGGACGACAAAGATGTACGACAATCTTTCCATAGCAAGGTTTTGTACTTTCATCGAGGTCTGTTTTATAGAAACGTTTATCAATGGGACAATTTGTACAAGGCAAGATGTGCACTTAACAAGACAGAGAGTAGACAATTATGCTTCATCGGACAGATAGACATCTTTGGTCTTCTGATCAATGTTATCTTCGACATAATTTTAAATCTAGGTGCTTCAGCAAGTTAGATGCTCGGTTCAGTGAAAAGGCAAGTGAATTTTAGTATATAAACATGGGCAACTGATCTAAATTCTTCTCTGGTTCCCCTCCTGTGGCATAAGCAGCGCACTGATCAATGGTTTGCACCCCGCACAGAGATGCTGAACCTTCTCTTGAGGGGCACTGGCGACGGCCGACGGAGAGCGTTCAGGGTGCTGTCGGTGGACGCCCTCACCCTGAAGGAGTTCGTCTGCTGTCCAGAATTTCCTGGCAATTCCGTCAACAGTTTGTAGACGTCGGTGAAAACGGCCATGACCTGTCGAATAAAAATAATCGGGCCAGTTACACTGCTACCGTTACATAACCCAGCGGGATTATCTATTCAGTCACTATGACGAGAGTATTTTTCTTCGCAGGCTACGTTCGAACATTATCACTCGTGCCGTTTTTTCGTTCCCACCCCTTGAACGTCCGCGGCACGTGTATGGCCGTCGCGTCGTGCGTATCCTACGTTCTTCACTCTCTGCACCTTTACGAATTTCGAAAAGTTGTCATTCATACTCGTTTCCATTCATTTCTACGTCATAAATATTGTTGCAATAAAACCAGATTATATCTTCTGCACCGTGCAGATCGTAAGCAAATCTAACGCATTCGGCGTTATGTATATTATATATTATATGTATTATATTATATTATATTATATATATTATATATATTATATTATATTATATATATTATATCTGTCTCTTATACACATCTAGATGTGTATAAGAGACAGATATAATATATATAATATAATATAATATATATAATATAATATAATATCTGTCTCTTATACACATCTAGATGTGTATAAGAGACAGATATAATATATATAATATAATATAATATATATAATATAATATAATATCTGTCTCTTATACACATCTAGATGTGTATAAGAGACAGATATAATATATATAATATAATATAATATATATAATATAATATAATATCTGTCTCTTATACACATCTAGATGTGTATAAGAGACAGATATAATATATATAATATAATATAATATATATAATATAATATAATATCTGTCTCTTATACACATCTAGATGTGTATAAGAGACAGATATAATATATATAATATAATATAATATATATAATATAATATAATATCTGTCTCTTATACACATCTAGATGTGTATAAGAGACAGATATAATATATATAATATAATATAATATATATAATATAATATAATATCTGTCTCTTATACACATCTAGATGTGTATAAGAGACAGATATAATATATATAATATAATATAATATATATAATATAATATAATATCTGTCTCTTATACACATCTAGATGTGTATAAGAGACAGATATAATATATATAATATAATATAATATATATAATATAATATAATATCTGTCTCTTATACACATCTAGATGTGTATAAGAGACAGATATAATATATATAATATAATATAATATATATAATATAATATAATATCTGTCTCTTATACACATCTAGATGTGTATAAGAGACAGATATTATATTATATTATATATATTATATTATATTATATATATTATATATATTGTCGGCGCAAAAAATCGATTTTTAAGGCCGAATAAATATTTCCGAATATCGCTGACACCTCTAACGCGTCGCTCGCTTGCATCTTGACACGAGTCTTCGTCCAATTTACGCTGCGCTCTACACATTCGTACAAAATTTCGCAGCGAAACCCCCGCGAAAGCTAATTATATCAGCGATTTTATCCTTTCGACGGTATACGTATGTATCAGAAATAAAACAGAGCGTTTCTCTCGGCAGATAAAAAGTAATCGCTCGAGGTCGATGCGAAAGCGTACATAGTAAACGATTGCAAATTTAAATATCCTTCCGGGTGAAGGTCGTCGGAGTGCACGGCAATTGAGCGACGAAGGGTGCAGAGGTGCGACTAGGGTCGCCGGCGGAAGGGTGCCAGAGTGCCACACGGGGCGAACCACGAAAACGATAACCGTGGCCACCGTCGAGCTGTTCGATTAGGTGACCGGGTAATTAATTGTGAAACAAATTTTTAATTGCGGCACGGTTACGATCCTGATAACGGCGTACACATTGTACCGATGTCGGTCGATATCGCGCGTCCACACTCGCCGCGATACAGATTTTGTTTACGACTTTGCGATCACGCGTAAACGCCATGACCGGTTTCCCGGAGGAGTAAACAATCGTATAGAAAAATAACTGTCGGCCGATTATGACTCGGCGACAGTATGAAATCAAGTTCTCGGGGACAGATTCGCGAAAGACCCCCTACGATAGCGGGGGGGAGGGGTTCGAACTGTTCCGAGGGGAAAAGCCGAGTGACGCGCGGCATACGTCAGAGCTTCCGACAATTCGGTTAATTAGCACCGTAATAACGGTGACGTAGCACCGCGTCTTCGGCAGCCTCGAGACCACGTCATCAAGGCAAGGGACACCAAGGCTTTCGGATATTTTGTTCGTCCGTGGAGACTCTTCCGTTCGCCCCGATCGCGTCCCACCGCGACTTTCATACCGGAAAGGGAAGGAGGCGACGAATTCCAAATTTTCACCGCGCTTTGTTACGTAATTTTTGATCCCTTTTGAGCGGAGAGGGATGCTCTTTCCTTTTTCAATTAGCGGTCCGACTGGAAGATAGCGAGCGTTTTCTTGGTTTGAAAAACGAATGGAATTATTTCTGCGCCGGAACGTCGTGCATGTTTTTATTGTACCTTTATCGTGTCACTCGGAGCTTTTTTTTCGGCGACAGTTAATTATAAACGTTCACTGATATTCAATTATAAGCGCTGCTTTGACACGATTCGCCCCGGCTTGATACGCGGGTACGCGTGACACGTGTCTTTCCGTTTGTTTGACATTCAAAATTCCGACTGCGCTCCACCGTATACGGGGTGTCCAGAATGATCGGGACCGCGCTTGTACCATGTGTCGTCGTGGTCAAATTGATGAGAAATGTTTATACGAACTTGTGTATGCATACATATATATATATTATTATTTCATATATTATATTATATTATTATTATATTATATATTATATTATATTATTTTTATGTTATATATTATATTATATTATAAATATGTGTTATTATTAAAAATGTTCATACAAACTTGTGTCCGGAAATGATAAGAAAAGATATAATATATGTATATATAATATTATTATTATATTTTGTATATTATATTATAATTTTATTTTATATATATTCATATAATTATAATATAATATACAATATAATAATAACATTATATGTATATACAATATTATTATATAGGAATAATAATATTATTATATCATATATTATATTATATACATTATACAAAGTTTCTAAATTTTGGGAATCTACTCAAAACGCATTTACTATTATTTCCAATACAGATGGAATATTTGAAAACATTCAACGATCAAAAGTCTGCATTCTTGCACTCTCTCGAATACTCGAGCATTTCTTATAACCGCTATAATAAATCATGAATATCCTTGAATGCTTATATCTTTTCAATAAAGTATTTCCGGACACAAGTTTATATAAACATTTACGACCAGACTCTACGGTCTCAGTAACACATAGTAGAGATTTCTTCCATATCTCTCTGGACACCCTGTACATTGTAGTTAGACGTACTCTCAACAAGAGAACATTATTTCTCGAGGGCCAAACGAGTCGAATTTACTTCAATTTTTCAGCACACGCGTAAAATTGCAAACTGATAAAATTTCGAGAATAGCACATATAGCATATCAGCCTCTGTTCCAAATACTTTGAATTCGTTGCATTCATGCAGTATGCACCGTCGACTAGGTAAAAAAATCTAATTCATGCTTGATGCAGCTTCGAATAGAAGTCCCGATCTTTCGCGGTCGGGCCGCTTTAAAAAACACAGTGCGACGCCGGCGGCCGGCCAGCGATTTCGCGGCGATCTTTTTAATCTGGTGTTGTTACTGCTCTGCTTAGAGATAGCGGAGTTTAGAAAGAAGTTACAGAGATAGCGGGTCCTCCTGCGCAGCCGCCATCTTGTGTTCGGGGGTCTCGAGAAGCGCTCTTTTTACGGGGGTGGTAAACAAAAATGTGCGCAAGCGACGATAATTGAAAAAAAAATAGTGTCGAAAACATGACGAACTTGATAAAGATAGTGTCGAGGAGATCGAAACGATTGTTCTGCGTGAGTTCAAGGTGAGATGATGAATTACTTGTTCGACGGATTCCCGGACGGAGATCTCGTGGAACGAGTGCGCCTCGATCTGCTCCGCCCTTTGCCGTCCTTCCGAGGTGGAGACGACCCTTTCGCCCGGCGTGTACGACAGATCCGACTTGTTCCCGATTAGCACCACTACTGGTGGCACCTTTCTAGTTTTCTTCGCGTGCGACACCAAAAATCTGGAATCAACACAATCGCTATCGGAATTAACGGACCATTCACATAAAACACGATAATCCGTCGTGTACTCTTCCAACGAGCGGTATCACTGGTATCGGTCCCCGACTATCGTCGACACGAAATTAATTGGCTGGCTAGTCCTCAGACGATCTTATTCCGCCATAATACGTGTGTGACTATTTTTTCTCGCGGCAGCCGAGATTCTTTTTTCACGCGCGCGCCACTTACGTGCGTCGGCTCTGAAGGAGGCGAAGACCCCGGCTCCGACGTTGCATTCTCTCTTCCCTGATCGAAACAATTATGCTAACACGGGCGCTGTACGTTTTATCTGGCCGCGACCTTGACTGCCGAAACTTCGTCTCCTCCACAGTCAAAACAGTGGGGGCTGACTCGGGGGCGAATGTGTCACTTGAAATATCTCGAAACTGGGACATAAACACCAGGAACTTCGGATTCCTTATCTTACAATTTATTGTGATTCCGAACGATTTATTCTGGCGGTATTTACTTTTTAATGCGATCTGTCGTGTAATACGCTATTTCGCGAACGAAATATTGCTCGGGAAATTAACTTCGTCGCGTCGATTATTCAGCGGATTGTTCGTACGCGTTTAAGGCGAAATTTTGTATTTATTAAGTTGGTGTATATGAAATGTCCGATTTTTAAGCGAATATATAATTATATATATTATTAATAATGTATTATAATTAATATATAATAATCATATAATTATATATATAGTATATAATAATCATATGTTATAATTAATATATAATAATCATATATTTTAATTAATATATAATAACCTAATATTTTGTACTAGGCGCCGCTCTTAACTTTTGTTCCCAGATTGCAACCTAAGGTCGATGGCATAATGCGATCTAATTACAGTATTCTCTCTCTCTTCTCTCTCTCTCTCCCTCCCTCTCTCTCTCTCTCTCTCTCTCTCTCTCTCTCTCTCTCTCTCTCTCTCTCTCTCTCTCTCTATTTCTCTATATATATATCTCCCAATAGTTCGTATTCTCTTTCACCGTATTCGAACGCTTCCCCCACCACTGAGCAGACACGTTCGCGTTCCTACGTATTTTAAAAGCGACTCTCTTTATGGATCGTTCAATACATGGTGTCCCAAAAATGTCTCGCAATACGGAAATGTGGGGTAGCTGTTTTATATTAATTTATAAAAGCAACAGTAAGACATTTATTCTGATTTCGAACAAGTGTTATTGTAATATTTGTCGCAAGTAATATATAATGGGGTGCATATTATCATAGACTCGAAGTAACGTTTAGCTGAGTCATCCTATATATTTATAAAAAAAAACTTAACAAAATATTATATTTATATATTTCTATTTTCTGTGGTCTCTAACATAGAAGTATACAAATATGGTATTCTGTTAAGTCGTTTTTTAAATATACAGGATGATTCAGCTAAAAGAGATCATTTAGAGCGCCGTGAATAATAAATTCAGTATAAATAAATAAAAAACTCAGTGTAAATAAATAAACTCAGTATAAATAAATAAACTCAATATAAATAAATAAACTCAATATAAATAAATAAATAAACTCAAACTAACTTTTACATTTTTACAGATGTGGCGGACCAGACATAAAAAGCCACGTCCTTCAAAAGCGGGGTGTGCAGATGCCTTTTTCGGGTTTTCCCGACGCAAGGCGTACATACTGCCATAAAACAATAAAAACGTCGAGACACAGCTTCGAACCTTAGGTTCCGGATCACCCCGGTCGGAAAATCTTCGGGAAAGGCCTTCGCCATTCCCAAGGACCTTCCCTTACCAATTTCAATACGCTCTCCCCAATAAATACGAGGACCTCTCGACCGGGAGACGTTAGTTAGCTAGTTTTTCTCCGACTCTCGACGTGTTCATATTTCTGTCTCATCCGTCACTCGTTTACCTTTACCTTTTACACACTGTACCCCATCACCTTTTTGTTACAAGTTATATTAAAGTTCTCGTTATATAAAAACCAAAAAAACTCTCTCGGATTATTTTATATAAACCGTCGCAGTAACCCCTGCGACAAACAGATATTTACGGAAAGCCAAGAAAGAAGCTACATTTGTATATTTCTATATAAAAAATAATACAAAATAGAAATACACAAATATATATATATATGATATATCGTTAAGTTTTTCCCTTTAAATATCGCTAAAAGCGTAAAAGTTACTTCGAGCCTATAATTATTCGCGCCACCGTCTATCGAACGAATAACTCGCAAACGTTCGCAATTTGAATAACCGTAAATTTTCGAATTAGTGACCCGTCATTCGGACGGGTTCCGCGAGCCTGGGTAATCGCAGAAGCATTCATGGCGCGAAGGTCGCGAACGAGGGTGGTTCGAACGGTGTTTATAAAAAGAAATCAATTCTCACCGTAGCCGATTGGTTTCGTCGAAGCTGACACGGTCCGAGACCGAGTAAACGAGTATTATGGCGTCGGCCAATCGCAGCTTGAACTCGGTTGGGGGTGGCAGGAATCCCGGCGGGTCGGTCAGTTCCCACGAGGCGTCCAGGAAGTTGTCAACCTTGTACATCCTCTCGGTGCTGCAGTCGTACTCGCCTATGAACCGCTTTGTCGCGAACCGAACCGCCAATGCTGAACAGTCGAAACGATACAACAGCGTCGTAAAATGGACTCTCAGAGGGCGGATCGGCGATTCGCTACTAGCGTTGCTACTTCGCTACTCGTTCACGTCGCCGGCGACGATCCAAGGGAGAGAAATGGTTAACGACGGTCTCATTCGACTCGTTGGCTTTACCAGTTTTACCGACGCCCTGCAGGCCCAGCAGGATCACCTTGAACAATTTCGGCTCCTTGGGGCTGCTGAGGCCGAGGTTCCACGCGATCGGTGGGCTGATTCTTTTCTTGAGCGACGCCGCCGGTGGACTGAACCTCTCCATGACTTCGAAGTCACTGCTTTCCTGCCGAGGCGGCTCCATCGATTATGAACCCTCTCCTGCACCGATGATATTTAATAGACACGTTGGTACACGCCCGTGTGGCATCGGAGCCTCCCTTTTTCACCGTGTCTGATAAACACATCGATCGGTGACGTTTGTCCTTTCCGCGAGGGTTGCAGTGCTTTTAGCACACGCGGCCAAGTGTGCGTGCGTGGATTCCATTCATGCGAGCACGCTTTCAAGCGGAACCTATTCTGCCTCGAGAGAGAGAGAGAGAGAGAGAGAGAGAGAGAGAGAAGAGAACTTCTCTCGCGCAGCAGCCGTTTCGAAACGGAACCGATTTTATTCAACCGTGAACGAGCGTATTTCCGACACACGAGTGTGGAAATCCTTTGGAACTTAACACGTTGGCTGCCGCGCGAATTTTACGTGACTTGCCCAAGGCGCCAACATGAATTTTTCATTATGCGATGCATATTATGTTGAAATATTATTTACAGCAGATAAGTTTAGTTGTATAAACTTGTTTTATGCATTTTTCGTGACGCATTGTAATAAATTACAATTATTATAATATTATATTATTTAAAAATCTATGCGTATCGATGTTTACCCTAATTATGTATTTTAACTATTCGTCGCGTCGCCGGTCACCGGTGGCCCCCACGGCGCTGTAGCCAAGTCGAGTGCCGGTCACCGGTGACCCCCACGGCAGCCAACGTGTTAATAAATAACGTAATGATTGGTGGAGTACAAAATAAAATGTATTTGCATTAATATTAATTAAATATTAATTAGCCATATAATATAATTATATTATATTATTATATATTATTATTGTATATATATAATAAATATTAATTAATTTAATATTAATCGGTGGCTATAAATACTTCGAATACTTCTCTGATTTTCACACGTTTGAAAGTAGCGTCACCAGCGTAGATAGTTGTTATATATTTATTGCATTAATCGTATCCGCTCATAAAATATCGTGCGCTATGCGTTACAATTTTCAATAATTATATTCGCAAAATTCATTTATCGAATATGAAAATGAAATTATTAAGAGTTTATAAATTAAAAAGATCAACTCTTCTCAAATATAGATCATCAATTTATATACGAAACTTTTCTTTTTCAATACGTTTTCAATCCCGGGGCACAGAAATTGGGACAGGCACAGAAACTGGGACATCTACCCTATGTCGATCCTTCTCTTAAAATTTACCAGAAAGCGAATAAATTGTTTCATAATAAAACAAATCACATCACTTGACGTTCTATACTAATTTCAAAGTTGAATAAGTATAACATTTTCTATCAAATAATCGAAATGAAAGTTTCCTTACATTCTCTCGGGGTGCAACTTGTGTTCTTATTTTCTTTAAAAATCGTGCGCCTCGAATAGCGAAGACAATCGATGATAATCTCGCAGCCCCTAAAAATCGTGCCGAAATAGACGCTCTTATCTCGAACTGAAACGCCCAGGCGGGCGATCGATGAATCTCTCGATCGTAGTTATCGATGTTCCGGCGATAAGCCGGCCAAAATAAATGTGGCCGGCCACGTGCATCACGTCGCTTCACCACCATGTATGCCAATAATTTTTGCGTAACAGCCAGATAATCGCAATTATAGTAGCGGTTTCGCAACGTGCCCGTTATCGATTCAAAATGTTTCTCAGATCACGTGTGTGCACGAGAGTGCGTAAGTATTCACCGTCGAACCGAACCGTAGCGGCGGCGAGTCGCGCTCGAGATGCTCGATGATGCGCTGTGCACGGCGTGGTCATCGATTATAAAAAATCATTAGCGCGCGCGCGCGCGTGCGGGCACAGTGCAGGAAATTCCTGCGGACCCGCGCGCCCCGCGGCATTCTGCCGTGGCGCCAGGCAACGTGAACCCGCAAAGGTCGCTACACGGTTCTAATCAAAACGCTTCGTATCAGTGTCGTTAGGTCAGACATTTAATGGCTGCGTTTCGCAATTCGCGTGTCTTCGTCCTGGATGGAATAAAACCGGGTGCTATTGGACAGCCGTGCACCAGATCCGATGGGTGTCGACCCCATGGTGGACACCCGGCACGCGCCCCTCGTCGCCGTTCGCACTTATCTTTACGTAAGAAGCACGGCGATCTCTCCCCCGCGACCCCTCTCGCCGTCTCGGCGTGCGCGACGCTAAACAGATATGTGTCCGGCACGGATTCTGAGTCATTGGCGTTTCGCTATTTCCGCCGTGGACGACCGACGCACTTTTCGCCACGTGGGCACCGTGGACGCAGCCGCCGACGCCATCTTTACGGGCCTCGATTGACGATGGTTGTGCCAGTTAAAGATGTCCGATGCCGATTCGATTCCTGGTCAAATCGTTTCTTTCGGTCGGAGAGCCGATTTTTCGAAACGATCGACAGATCTTCTTAGGTATCGTCGATCAGATTTTCACGTTTCAGCGAATTGTAGAAGCGATGTCAATTGTCGCTGGACTGCGAATATTTGGTCACGATAAATATGTAAAATGCGTACGACATTTGTGCACGAGAAATATGCGAATTATGGGAAGTATGTTGGTATGTTTAATATGTAGCATAATAAGTAGACTGCCGATTTTCATGCGAAATGAAAATTGTCTGCATTTATTATGACGCGTGAAAGCTAGATTTACATTTATTTCTTTTTTTAATCGGTTTAGCATGTACAAGTTAATTCAACGGTATTTTTGCATTCTTGAAATATTTTCGCTGTTTATTTATATTTATTTATATATATTATTATTATATTATATTATATGTTATTATTATATTATATTATATATTATTATTATATTAATTATATTATATTATTATTTTTATATATTATTTATTTATTTATATTTTTTATATAATATATATATATATATATATATATATATATATTTATATATAATATTTTATAATATACTATATGTATATTGCTAATTATTAGACGGTGGATTTCATATATAAAATGCTTATCACAATTATTCCGATACATCATAGTTCAATAAATTACAAGCATTTTTTTGCACAAATTTAGTGTCGTCAATTGACGAAGATTGTCTGTCGAAATTAATTTAAACGCGGAGAATGACCGCTCCACAAATATACAGGGTGGGGCGCATAACTGTCGCTACAATCTTTTAAGTGTTACTTTCAATAATCTGTCAAAAAACTGTTTCAAAAGGAAAGTCAATCAGTATTTAATCAGCTATACATTGAGAAATAACAAAATTTAAAAAATTGTTACTTTTCGACCAAAAGTCAAGGTCACCTTGATGTTTCTTAAATGGCACTCGGTCTTTCTGACTTCGTAGGGTTATTGCTGATAAAAAAATGAATTCAACGGCCTGCTATACTACGACCTTCAGATGACCTTGACCTCAGCAATTTCGCGAACCGGTTTCAATAAAATTTTCAGCATGCGGATGAGTCACTGAGAACTACAAAACGCTTTTTTTTTACATTTTCGTTATAAGCTCAGGTAGAAAGATCATTGAGAAAACATAATTTCTTAATTTCGCTATGATCCCGTCCAATTGCAAATTTTGGAAACGATTTTTCATCCATTATCTAGTAAACTAATCTCTCTGACACCCCAAAAAATTTAGGCCACTTGGCCTAATTAAGAAATTGTTATTCCGTTTTGAAAGGTGTTCGAATACTTTCCTCCCTGGAATACTCTCTTCTTCCGGAGTTTTCAAGGCCATCGATGTCGGGGTGCATATAATTGCATAGCTTTTTTTATTGTATCGCATCGCCGACGTTAAAATAGGCTTGTATAACCTCCTGACCGTGAAATGACCTTTGACACCAAACATGAAAACGAAACGTGAAATTGTATCTCCCGATATCAAGTGACGAATACGATGCAAAAAGTAGCTTTTTTCAAGGTCATTTCTTTCGTAGGAAGCAAACACAGGGACTGAATAATTATTCGAATCTACAGAAATTCGCATTATGAAAGAAGAAGACAACAGACGCTTTGATCTAATGAATGCTAATTTTACAAATTTCTTCAGATAACAAGTTAGATAACAAACACGTGTCTTATACATGATTGACCATCCCCATAAAATGGATTCGGTAATACAAGTTGCAGCAACAGAAAATTCATACTATGAACAAATCATAAAAGCGTGAAAAATAAAGGCATATAAAGTTAGTTACCGATTATTAGTTACCAACAACTATAAAAACGAGCCGCAAGGCATAATTAGGGAGAAATTATTGTAATTCCTTGATTGACAATTTCGATATAGTAATATATTATATTATTTTTTGATACTATAATAAATTATTACTCACCCTGTATGCGAATGAAATTACTATCATTTAATCATAATAAATTGTTATTATAGTATCATTGTTAAATGATAGTAATTTCATTCGCATACAGGGTGAGTCATGTAACTTTTAAATTATGCATCCAATTAAGAATTATTAAATATAAAAGTTCTACAGTTTTAAGGGTGGAAAAGTGATGTCGTATTTATATTTTTTGTACCAAATATAGTTTTCGAAAGTTCAAGGTCAACATCCTTTTTCAAATTGAAATGTATATTTTTCACATTATGTATCGAAAGAATATTAAATTCTGAGCAGAAAAATTTAAATCCATTGCGTCTCGTTTTTATAGTTATTAATTGTCGATAACTATAAAAACGAGCCGCAAGATTCGGATAATCGTATCTCCTCTTCCAAAATTGTCCATTTTTGTGCGCAATCTGAGCGCGAATTAGGGAGAAATAACTGTATTATGAGGGAGATTTCAACCGAAATGAAAACTGCATGGACGGACCCGTTATCTGCTTTGATCTTCGAAGAGGAACAAGTTAAAGGAAGACGACGAGGGCTGTGAAACTGTACGGAACTACGTATACCTAGAAGCACGATGCGTTTGCATGCTTGGCGATTTTCTTACAAAGAAACACGAGTTTCAAAGGGGCGATCTTGCAAAGGACTTAAAAACTCGATCGAGTCGAGCGCAGGAATTTTCCGAGATTCCCTGCACGCTCGGTAGTAGTGAAGCTCGCTTGGCCAAAGTCTAACAACAAGAAGAATCGCCAGAAACTATGCGAATAATATTATTCTGTATGAGGATAATATTCCCGCGAGATATATCTATCTCTGTATTTTGATAATACTTTAATCTCGAGGCTCTATTTTTTCACCGGAATCATTTCATTCATTTTAGAATCCATTCAACCGATGACCCAGACCTAATTCATTCGACTCCGTGCGACTTACAGTCCGGGACAAATACAATGCGGGCACCCTTTAAAACGGTACAACTTTTTTTTGAAAACGGACTAAACGATTCGAATTTTTCTGTTGGGCGACAGAGGGATCGGTCCACTATCCAATGACTGAAACGGTTTTTCTAATTTTG